TGTGTTTCAGTTCTTATCTTTTATGCGAGCATCATTGAAATCATCATGCCTTGCTATAAAGCCATTAAAGAAAAGCGCTTGTTGGGAGACAATCCAATATTTACCCTTGCTGTTTTGGTGTGTCCACATGATTAAGATACTATAGTGATCATGTTTTATAGCTTTTGTTTCAATAAAGTGCAAAGTAAAGCCTTTGGGATAGTGTGGATGATAGTTGATTAGATTCTGTGCAAAAACAGAAAGTTTTGCGTCCAATGCACAAAATTCTATAAATCATTGGAATGAGATAACTAGCTGCAATTTTTACACATGTTTGGTATACAAATTGTCTATGCTGTCCTAAGTTTTTAGAACTTGTAGAGTTGCAGAAGTTTGGGAAATGTTCGGATCATTACAAACTGTTATGTTTTGACAGATTCTGTTTTGAATGCATAGTATGCTTGTTTTAGTGTTTCCATAGCTTATATTAAGTGATATAAATTGTGGAAATGATAAGGTATAGTCGGATTTATGTGAGGAAAATCATGAATCTTGTCTTGGCAGTACGAAAGTGAATTATTTGCTCTTTCTTATACTAACGCATCTCACGAAGGTTTTGTTATGTTTTGTGTGATTGAAGTTTTCATGTTTTGTGTGAGATATCGATATGAGGGGAATAAGGTGTGATAAGACCTTAAGATTGAGGATACCCAAGGCACCCCAAGGTAATATTCAAGGAAGATACAAGCAACTAAGCTTGGGAATGCCCTGAAAGGCATCCCCACTTTCATCGCCAACATTATCGGTAACCTTACATGGAGCTATATTTTTATTCGTCACATGATATGTTTTTTTCTTGGAGCGTCATTTTCTTTTGTTCATATTTGCTTGCTGCTATTGAGAGACATGTTTTGTATCTTTTACTTCAATAAAAATGTCAAGTATAGCCTTTACCATTCTTATTTTGCAAGTCTATATGTTGTTGTTTGAAAACAGAAAGTTTATCGCTGTTGCAAAATTTTGCAAGAAAAGTAAGAATGTGATAAAATGTTGAAACTTTTTCCAGATTAAGCTATGATAAATTATCTACAGTGTGGTAAATTTTCATAATTTTTTGAGTTAGAGGAGTATGGATTTTCCTTAATCCTTTACAGATTATCCTTTTTAGACAGATTGATGTTATGTTTGCATTGTTTGCATATTTTTGCATGCTTAATGATTCTATTTGAGGATAGGAGTGTTAAATATGTAGAGCCATTTATTATGCAAGGTCAAATTATAATTCTTGTGATTTTCTACAGTAGAGAATGATAAGGTTTTGCATGGATTTATACTAACTTATCTCACGAGTTCTTGTTGAGTTTTGTGTGGATGAAGTTTTTGAGATCTAGGGAAACCATGACATAAGAGGAATTAAGGAGACATAAGAGCTCAAGCTTGGTGATGCCCAAGGCATCCCATGTTAATATTTCAAGAAGTCTCAAGCATCTAAGCTTGGGAATGTCCCGGTAGGCATCCCACCTTTCTTCATCAACAATTATCGGTTAGTCTCAGTTGAGCCTATTTTTGCTTTTTCACATGATATGTGCTATCCTTGCAATGCATTTTTTATTTTGCTTTCTGTTTGAATAAATTACTTAATATTTGTAATTCTTAAATTAGCGAGGGTCTTCTCAAAGATAGTTAATTATTTGACTACTCATTGATCTTCTGTTATATCTTTTTGGAGTAGTTTGTTAGTTGCTCTAGTGCTTCACTTATATCTTTTTAGAGCACGGCGGTGGTTTTATTTTATAGAAATTGATGAACTCTCATACTTCACTTATATTATTTTGAGATTCCCTAAACAACATGGTAATTTTCTTGGGTTATGAATTTAGTCCTAATATGATAGGCATCCGAAGAGGGTATAACAAAAACTTTCATATAAAGAGCATTGAATAGCATGAGAAGTTTGATTCTTTATGATTGTTTTGAGATATTAAGATGGTAATAGTAGATTCGTGCTACTGGTAAATTGTGGAGTTAAAGTAATAATTGTGTTAAGGTTTGTGATTCCCGTAGCATGCACATATGGTCTCCTAACTATGTAACCAAATTGAAGTGCATTGTATCTTAATTGTTTATCTTTCGTGAAAGTCGGGAGCGCGCGATGTGTAACTCACCAGCCCTCCCCTAGGAGCATGCGTAGTAGTACTTTGCTTCAAGGGCTAATAGATTTTTTGCAATAAGTATGTGAGTTCTTTATGACTAATGTTGAGTCCATAGATTATACGTGATCTCACCATTCCACCTTGCTAGCCACTCTAGTACCGCGCAACTTGCGCTGGTGCATGAAACCACCTTATATCCTTCCGAAAAACAGCCACCATACCTACATATTATGGCATTTTCATAGCCATTCCGAGATATATTGCCATGTAACTCCACCGTTCCATTTATTTTGACACACACCATCATTGTCATATTTGTGGCTTGGCCACCTATCACATTTTTCATACATGTCACTCTTGATCATTGCACATCGTGGTACATCGATGTAGGCATTCATATAGAGTCATATTTTTTGTTCTAGTATCAAGTTGTAATATCGAGTTGTAAGTAAATAAAAGTGTGATGATCATCATTACTAGAACATTGTCCCATGTGAGGTTATGAATAAACAGGCCGAAGAGTCCCTAAAATAAATAGGCCAAAAAGAGTCTCCAAAAAAAGAGAAAAGGGTCTCCAAAAAAGAGAAAAGGGTCTCCAAAAAAAGAGAGGAGCCAAAAAATGAGAGAAAAAACAGATAAAGGGCAATGTTACTATCCTTTTCCACACTTGTGCTTCAAAGTAGCACCATGTTCTTCATTATATAGAGTCTCCTATTTAGTCACTTTCATATATTACTAGTGGGAATTTTCTATATAGAACTTGGCTCGTATATTCCAACAACGGGCTTCCTCAAATGCCCTAGGTCTTCATGAGCAAGCAAGTTGATGGACACACACTATTTTTCTTTTGAGATTTCGTACACTTATAGCTCTAGTGCATCCGTTACATGGCAATCCCTACTCACTCAAATTGATATCAATTGATGAACATCTCCATAGTTCATTAATTTTCCTAGTTGATGTGAGACTTTCTCCCTACTTTTGTCTATAACCACCTTCTATTCCACCTATAGTGCTGTATACATGGCTCACGCTCATATATTCCGTGAACAGTTGAAGAAGTTTAAGAATGTAAATGTATGAATAAAATTGCTAGGCTGACACCAGGGTGGGCATGATTTATACTTTGTGTTAAGAAGAGGGAGCATAACAAGACTATATGATTTTGTAGGAATGACTTTCTTTAGCCATGTTATTTTTGAAGCTTAATGGTTTGCTTTCTAGTATACTGGAAGCATGATTTGTTTATGTTATCAACCTCTTGTTTTGAATCATATGGATCTTAATATTCATGCCAAATAAAAGAGATTGCATTGATAAATATGTTAGGTAGCATTCCACATCAAAAATTCTTTTTATATCATTTACCTACTCGATGACGAGTAGAAATTAAGCTTGGGGATGCTTGATACGTCTCTAACGTATCTATAATTTTTTATTGTTCCATGCTATAATATTATCTGTTTTGGATGTTTTATATGCATTAATATGCTATCTTATATTATTTTTGGGACTACCCTATTAACCCAGAGCCTAGTGCTAGGTTCTGTTTTTTCCTTATTTTTGAGTTTTACATAAAAGCAATACCAAACGGAGTCCAAACGAGCTGAAAATTTACGATGATTTTTATGGACCAGGAGAAGCCCACGGAGTATCGGAGATGGACCACGGGAGCCACGAGGCATCCACAAGGTTGGGGGCGCGCCCACCCCCTAGGGCGTGCCCCCTGCCTTGTCGTCGCCATGTGGACCCCTTGACTTGTCCCTGGTGCCAAAAATTCCTATAAATACCAAAACCCCTAGAAATAAATCTAGATCAGGAGTTCTGCCACCGCAAGCCTCCGAGTCCTTGAAAAACAAATCTAAGACCGTTCCGGCACTCTGCCAGATGGGGAATCATCACCAGAGGCCATCTTCATCATCCTGGCGGCCACCATGATGAGGAGGGAGTAGTCCACCCTTAGGGTTGCGGTTATGTACCAGTAGCTATATGTTTGATCTCTTTCTCTCGTGTTCTTGATTTGGCACGATCTTGATGTACCGCGAGCTTTGTTACTATAGTTGAATCATATGGTGTTTCTCCCCCTCTTTACCTTGTGATGAATTGAGTCTTTTCCTTTGAGGTTTTGTTATGTCGGATTGAATCTTTGGATGTGAGAGCACTTGATGTATGTCTTTCGATGGGATATCCATGGTGACAATTTGATGTTCTATTGATCCACTTGATGTATGTTTTGGTTATCAACTTGCGGATTCTTGCGGTGACATTGGGGTAATCTATGCATAGGGGTTGGTACGCGTTTTCATATTCCTTTCTCCGGTAGAATCTCGGGATGATATTGAAGTTCTTTGTGTTGGATTGAATATTATGAATCTGAGATTGTGTGATGCACATCGTATGATTAGCCCACGGATACTTGTGGTGACATTTGAGTATCTAGGTGACATTAGGGTTGATAGATGTGTGTCACTTGGTGTTATTTAAGTATGAACTCTAGACCAGTTTGTGGCACTTATAGGAATAGCCCAATGGATCGATCAGAAAGAATAACTTTGAGGTGGTTTCGTACCTTACAAGCAATTTCATCTTATGTTCTCCGCGATAGGATCTCTGGAGTGGCTCTTTGTTGCATGTTGAGGGATTTTTATATGATCCAATTATGTTATCACTGTTGAGAGAACTTGCACCAGTGAAAGTACGAACCCTAGGCCTTGTGTCCAAGCATTGGAATATCGTTTTTGCTCACTTTTATCACTTGTTACCTCGCTGTTTGTATTTACCCAGATTATAAAAACCTATATCAGCACCACACGCACAGCTCAACACAACGCAGTACAATACCCTCTCAAAGCACGAGACACACGCACAATGGCAACCGTGGAGGTATTGGCGACGGAGGTTGTTGTCCCGGCGAAGGCAACTCCGGGGGGCACGGTCTGTCTGTCCAACCCTGTGTTTAGGCCGAGAAAAACGGATTTTGGCCGAATTTCGGCCATTTCGGCCTAGGGCGAAAAATCACCTGCGCATCCGTAGAGAAATCAGTGGTACGCCTATTAAGACTTTGTTCCACCAACACTGCATCTGTCATAATTATCAGACGGACCACATCGAGCTCATAATGCTTGGAGTTCGTACTCCATAATACTTGCAGTGGAGCACGAACTCATCTCACTCATTTGATTACTAAAAATGGACAGTCGTTATTAGTTTGAGGTTAGAGTAAATGAACTATTTTGTCACGCCTTGGTTGTCCTTTTTAACCGTTATGTGTATGGTTGACCCTGATCTCACATTATTTCTCGAAGGTTGGAAACCACATATTCACAAATGGAGCCATTTCACCATCCATGCGATCATTTTCCAAATTCGGGGAAAAATATAAAATCTGTTTAAACATTCTAAGATGAAAGGTCTGGATAGTACCTCCTTGGTTGTCCCCCCAACAACCATTTTTATGTATTTTGATACCCTTATTTATTAATGAAAAAATTACTCACAGTAGGGGATTTACCCTACTACTGTTCTTTGGTCAAAAAAAAGAAAGGTCTGGATGTCTACTTAATTGGCCTAGTAGTTCGCAAATTCGGCGGCACGCAGGTCAGGGCTACAACTGCAGAAACGCATATCCCAGTCGCTTTGCACCGTGATGCGTGCACATGTATTGCGGCAAAATTCGTTTTAAAATGGCTAGAAATTCTTACATGGGTGAATACAAGACAATATTACATGCTTTTCTATAACACATTTCGTTCTTCCGACCGCAATGACTTTCCTAAGCTTTGATTTCATTTTGGGCTCCAAGGGTTAACCCTGTTTGTTCAATCAACTTCTTTTCGACGAAACTTTGACCGTAATATTTTCCATTCGGTTTTCTGAAATTTGCAGTCACTGCTGGCCTGGATATTCTATATTTATTCGTTGTTGACGACGAATACAACTAGTGACCCTGAGAGTTAACCAACATTTATTTTAAGTTATGGAATCGACCAATGTCTTGTCTTCTGTATGCTTTCAATCTTCCCCTTGTCTTGTTCCTTTCTAGTGCGATCATGCAGATGTACTTCATTGCGGCTCCTACTCAACGTTCCTGCAACCGGTGCCGCAAGTATACGGCCAGTGCCGGTGGTTGTTTTCATTTCGCTGCAATTTGTCGCAGCCAAGAAAACCCCAATCGGGGTCAATGCAGTTTATGAAATGGAGTTAAATTACAACGTACAAATCTTTAATCTCTCAGCCATGTGATAAAAAGAAATCAATGAAGGCGCAGCGGTCTGATGATTGGAACAGATACGTCTGACTATCTTGCCGGTTATTAAAGCGAAATTAAACAACAAAAAAGCCCCAAATCCAGGCGCTAGAAAGGCGTTGCCGGGTTTCCTGTTAGGATCATCGTTGTTTTTTCACCGAAGAAACAATGTTAGTCAAACAAAGCTTTGCTGCACGTGCTGGACACGGCTTACCATCTTGGTGAGGTGGTGTCCTTATAAACTCCAAGGGAACAGCACCACACGCACAGCTCAACACGACGCAGTACAATACCCTCTGAAAGAACGAGACACACGCACAATGGCAACCGTGGAGGTATTGGCGACGGAGCTTGTTGTCCCGGCGGAGGCAACTCCGGGGGGCACGGTCTGGCTGTCCAACCTGGACCTTGCCGCGCGCCGGGGTTACACTACCACAGTCTACTTCTACCGGGCGAACGGCGATCCGCCAGGTTTCTTCGCGGCTGAAGCCGTCAAGGACAGCCTCGCCAGGGCTCTGGTGGCATTCTACCCGCTGGCGGGCCGCCTCGGGCTCGACGGTGCCGGGCGTGTCCAGATCGACTGCACTGGCGAGGGCGCGGTTTTCCTCACGGCGTGCTCCGGTCACTACACTCTTGACGACCTGATGAAAGAATTCGTGCCATGTGGCGAGATGCGTGACCTGTTCGTGCCACCAATGCCGTCGTCGAACCTGGCGTGCCCCCTGCTATTGGCGCAGATCACGCGTCTGCGCTGCGGCGGCGTCGTCCTCGGCCTGGCACTGCACCACTCGGCCACAGACGCGAGGAGCGCGGCGCTCTTCGTCGAGACGTGGGCGAGCATTTCCCGTCGCTCCACCATGGACGTGCTCGTGCCGCCTTGCTTCGACCACAAACTGCTCGCCGCGCGGCACTCACGCACGGTGCTGTACGACCATCCGGAGTACAAACCCGAGCCAGCGGCTAAGCACACGTCCACCGTGTCGACGTACGCCAGCGCCATCATCACTGTGACCAAGCAGCAGGTGAGCGCGCTCAGGGCGCGGTGCGCAGGGGCCTCCACCTTCCGTGTCCTGGTGGCGCTGGTATGGCAGACCGCGTGCCGTGCGCGGGCACTTCCGCTTGACGCAGAGACGCGGCTCTACTCAATGATCGACATGCGGGCACGCTTGGTGCCGCCGCTCCCGCAGGGGTACTTCGGCAACGCGGTGGTCCGCACGTCGACGGCGGCCACCGTTGGGGAAGTGGTGTCCAATACGGTCGGCCACGGCGCCTGGCTGGCACGAGGCGCGACGAACCAGGGTGGCGACTATGCACGCTCGCTGGTGGACTACCTTGAAGGGGTGGAGGACTTGATGAACCTGCCTCGGAGCGGCATCTCGCGCGCGCACCTCCGTGCGATAAGCTGGATGGGCATGTCGCTGAACGACGCCGACTTCGGGCACGGTGCGCCGGCGTTCATGGGGCCTGCGCTTATGTACTACAGCGGCTTTGTGTACGTGATGAATGCGCCGGGAAAGGACGGCGCCCTCACGCTTGCGCTGTCACTCGAGCCAGAGAGCATGCCGGAGTTCAGCAGGTTGTTTGCGCAGGAGCTCGCCCGTCTCGACGCAAGTGTAGCAAGTTCATAGTCGCACGTCCACGTCCATGCATGACGCCCATCTCCTAATGTACTCCCTCCACTCACAATAAATGTTATCTTGAAAACGACTTTATATTGTGCGACGAAATAAGTAACTCCAAAATTCAGCTCCGACTAAGAGAGAACCGGAAAACAATTTGTGTTTATAAGCCTGTCCTATTAGGTTGATTCGGAGCACTCACATGAATCATGCATTGTCAGCATTACGGTGTACAGCTATGCATTGGTGATTGCATAGCATATCGATGAAATTTATTTATTTATGCAAAAAAACTTTTGGTTTGTTCATCTTTAATCATGGCAGTACAACGAACACAAAAAATACTAAAAATTACATCTACATCTGTGGACCACCTAGCAACGACTACAAGCACTGAAGCAAGACTAAGACGTTGTACTGCCTCGCCGGAGCCGTGCAAAACTCGTTGTAATAATCAGTGGGGAAGTCATCGTGCTAAGGCCCCATAGGACCAGTGCACTAGCACAACAATCGTTGGGGTTGAAGAGTAGCATAGGTCGGAAGGATTCATTCTGAAAACACACAAACATACACGAACTATGACCAGATTCGAGAAAATACACCGAGAACAGATCCGGTGAAGACACACCTCCACACGACCACCAAAAATGGTAGACGCACCCCTACATCGGGGACTAGGCAGAGAGAACCTTATTCCATTTTCAGGGTGCTGCCATTGTCTCGTTTGCTTGAGCAGAACACATACTCTAACAAAAGTCGAAGAAGCATCTAAAAAATGAAGACCTCCTGCCAGCAAGGGTCGGGATCCACCGCGCCGTCAAGGCCCTAAGGCGACCGGAGGTGAGACAGGCCAGCGGGAGCAAGAGAAATCTAGACTTTCCTTCCTATTTGAGTCACTGCTGCATGATTTGCTCAAAAGTTATCGGAATAAGATATATCCACTAGTTTTAAACCATGAGTTGTGTCCTGTTTCTGTTTCTATTGAGATTGGTCAGGGGCAAGTTGCCTGAATTTTTTGATGGCAAGTTTAGTGACGCAGGTATGGCAAGTTTAGTTGTTAGGCATCGGAACTTTCTGTCAGGTGGCAAGTTTAGGTGTTTTTTTTGTTTCATTTTTCATTTCGGATGGAACTTTAGTAGTAAAAAATGTCAGGGCCATACTTCTTCTTGCCACACGTGTGGCACTTATAGTTTGGGGAAATATATCTATGCCTATGTTCTTTTTTCAACCAAGGTGACCATTAACATTTACAATGGTACAACATGGATAATTGAATTAATTAAAATTGTAAACATTCAGAGAAACAAAGCAGTTAACATGGCAGTTCAAGTAAGCAAAGCAGGACAATCATTGCAACTTACTTCCTTACGACACCCAAATTTATTGGCTATATTTCCATGGTAGCACTCAACTGGCACTAGTAGAAAAGGGGGCATTGGTCCAGGCCGGGTCAGCCCATTAGTCCTGGTTCAATCCAGAACCGGGACCAATGGGGGCATTGGACCCGGTTCGTGAGCCCCGGGGGCCGGCCGGGCCACGTGGGCCATTGGTCCCAGTTCGTCTGGACCTTTTGGTCCCGGTTGGTGGGACGAACCGGGACCAATGTGCCTTGGTCCTGGCCCACCACCATTGGTCCCGGTTGGTGGCCTGAACCGGGACCAAAGGCTTCCCTTTAGTCCCGGTTCAAGCCACGAACCGGGACCAATTAATTGCCTATATATACCCCTCGCCTGCGAGCAGAGCACTCTCACTGCTTTGTTTTTCGTGGCCGGCGAGGAGAGAGCTTTGTGGTGCTATAGCTCGCCTCCTATGCACACGAGGTGTTCGATGGAATGCCCGAGCCACACTACTTAAGCTTTCTCCTCTCCAAGCTCGACCTCCAAGCTCCATTTTCCTCAATATTTTTCTAGGTTTAGCGGTCCGTCACGTCCCGTCCCCGTCTTCACCGCCGTCGATCGCCCGCGCCGATCTCGTCGCCGGCACCACCGTGGTGAGCCTCTTGTTCTTATCTTCTTTCTGAAAGGAATTTTTTTTACTTGTATGTTTATATAGATACTTGTATAATTTTCTTACTTTTATTATTGCATCTTATATAGTGCGATGGTTTTGGTATCCGCCCCCGTCGTCCCTCGTCCTGTCTATGATTCACATGTGGTATATATTATCTTTTCATAACTATTGGTTCATCTATTGTTTATGAAAATTATGCCGACCAACGTGACATAGATTTTATTTATCTAGGAGGTTGTTGAACCGGAAATTCCAACCGACCCTATTGTCGAGAGGTTAAATTTAGTTGAAGAAGAAAACAATTTCTTGAAGGAAAAAATTAGAAAAATTGAGGAGGAGAAGATGATATAGGAGTTGCATGTTGCAGATGTCGTGAATGATCACAAGATCAAGATGGATGCAATGCGCTTGAAGATTAGAAAGATTAGAAAATATGCCGTTCATACGGACGCTTGGTATCATTATGCCGTTGGATCAGTTGTTACATTGGTTGCGATTATGATCGCATTTGTTTTTGCATTGAAATGTTTTACATAGTTTCAATGTATGGTTTAATTAATTTAGATGCTCTGCAGATCTTTATGTTGTTAGATGAGAACTATGTATGTACTTTGGTTTTAATGTGATGATGAACTTCTATTAATTTGGTCACTTAATTATCTATTCATGATGTTCTGTAATGATTTTTAACACACTTAATTATATATAATGCACGCAAATGAACCGGCAATGGATGTACGGTTCAAGACACACCTCCGAGTACATTAAGGGCGTGCATGAATTTCTCGAAGTGGCTGAGGCAAACAACCAGAATGGTTTTATGTGTAGTCCATGCCCTATATGTGGGAATACGAAGTCTTACTCTGACCGGAAAATCCTTCACACCCACCTGCTTTACAAGGGTTTCATGCCACACTATAATGTTTGGATGAGGCCCAGAGAAATAGGGGTTATGATGGAAGACGGCGAAGAAGAAAAGTACGATGACAACTATGTGCCCCCTGAATACGATGATGCTACTGAAGATCAAGAGGAACCAGACGATGTGCACGATGATGCTGCAACAGGCGAAGCTGCTGAAGATCAAGAGGAACCCGACGATGTGCCCGATGATGATGATCTCCGCCGGGTCATTGTCGATGCAAGGACGCAATGCGAAAGTCAGAAGGAGAAGCTAAAGTTCGATCACATGTTAGAGGACCACAAAAAAGGGTGGTACCCCAATTGCGAAGATGGCAACACAAAGCTCGGTACCGTACTGGAATTGTTGCAATGGAAGGCAGAGAATGTTGTGCCTGACAAAGGATTGGAGAAGCTACTGAAAATATTGAAGAAAAAGCTTCCAAAGGATAACGAATTGCCCGACAGTACATACGCGGCAAAGAAGGTCGTATGCCCTCTAGGATTGGAGGTGCAGAAGATACATGCATGCCCTAATGACTGCATCCTCTACCGCGGTGCGTACAAGGATTTGAACGCATGCCCGATATGCGGTGCATTACGGTATAAGATCAGACGAGATGACCCTGGTGATGTTGACGGCGAGCCCCCCAGGAAGAGAGTTCCTGCAAAGGTGATGTGGTATGCTCCTATAATACCACGGTTGAAACGTCTGTTCAAAAACGGAGAGCATGCCAAGTTGACGCGATGGCACAGTCAGGACCGTAAGAAAGACGGGAAGTTGAGAGCACCCACTGACGGGTCGCAGTGGAGAAAAATCGAGAGAAAGTACTGGGATGAGTTTGCAAGTGACCCAAGGAACGTATGGTTTGCTTTAAGTGCGGATGGCATTAATCCTTTCGGGGAGTAGAGCAGCAATCACAGCACCTGGCCCGTAACTCTATGTATGTATAACCTTCCTCCTTGGATGTGCATGAAGCGGAAGTTCATTATGATGCCAGTTCTCATCCAAGGCCCTAAGCAACCCGGCAATGACATTGATGTGTACCTAAGGCCATTAGTTGAAGAACTTTTACAGCTATGGAATGGAAACGGTGTACGTACGTGGGATGAGCACAAACAGGAGGAATTTCACCTAAAGGCGTTGCTGTTCGTGACCATCAACGATTGGCCCGCTCTCAGTAACCTTTCAGGACAGACAAACAAGGGATACCACGCATGCACGCACTGTTTACTTGACACCGATAGTATATACCTGGGAAGCTGTAGGAAGAATGTGTACCTGGGGCATCGTCGATTTCTTCCGACCAACTATCAATGTCGAAAGAAATGCAAGCATTTCAAAGGCGAGGCAGATCACCGGAGGAAGCCCGCCATGCGTACCGGTGATCACGTACTTGATATGGTCAATGATTTACACGTAATCTTTGGAAAGGGTCCCGGCGGACTAACTGTTCCGAGTGACGCTGGGGGACACGCACCCATGTGGAAGAAGAAATCTATATTTTGGGACCTACCCTACTGGAAAGACCTAGAGGTCCGATCTTCGATCGACGTGATGCACATGACGAAGAACTTTTGCGTGAACCTGCTAGGCTTCTTGGGCGTGTATGGGAAGACAAAAAATACAGCTGAGGCACGGGAGGACCTGCAACGTTTGCACGAAAAAGACGGCATGCCTCCAAAACAGTATGAAGGTCCTTCCAGCTATGCTCTTACCAAAGAACAGAAGGAAATCTTCTTTGAATGCCTTCTTAGTATGAAGGTCCCGACTGGCTTCTCGTCGAATATAAAAGGAATAATAAATATGTCAGAGAAAAAGTTTCAGAACCTAAAGTCTCATGACTGCCACGTGATTATGACGCAACTGCTTCCGGTTGCATTGAGGGGGCTTCTACGGGAAAACGTCCGATTAGCCATTGTGAAGCTATGTGCATTCCTCAATGCAATCTCTCAGAAGGTGATCGATCCAGAAATCATACCAAGTCTAAGGAGTGATGTGGTGCAATGTCTTGTCAGTTTCGAGCTGGTGTTCCCACCATCCTTCTTCAATATCATGACGCACATCCTAGTTCATCTAGTTGACGAGATTGTCATTC